GTTCATCCTATAGTAGTTTCCTAGAGGAGGTCCTGGGAAAAATGATCCCCCGATTTTGTCTGTGTTCAAAACTATTTGTACCCTTTATACGTGAAGGCTGAGATGGCTGGATAATAAAGTCCTTTACTCACATTTTTTCCTGTATATCTTATAGATGTTGTCCATTCTTTTCTGGTACTGAATGTTGCTATGGAAATTCTGGAGCCAGGTTTTTATTTTTGGTCTGACTGCCCAAAGAGTCTTTAGCTTCAAGTCTGTTAATTATGTTAGGATATATCTTAGTGTTGGCCATTCTCAGCCAGTTTGCCTTGGCACCTAGTGTGCCCTTTTGGTATACAGTTGTCTCTTGGTATCCTTGGGGGATTGGTTCCAGGATCTCCATGGATAACAAAATCTATAGATGCTCAAGTCTCATATAAGATGGTGTAGTATTTGCATATAACCTATGGACATCCTCCCATGTACTTTAAATCATCTCTAGATTTCTTATAATATCTAATACACTGTAAATGCTATGTAAATAGTTGTTATACTGTGATTTTTATTTGTATTATTTTTAATCATTATAGTGTTATTTTTAATTGTTATATTCCCCCCAAATATTTTCAGTCAGTGGTTGGTTGAATCATGGATGTGGGACCTGCAGATATGAAGGGCCGACAGTATAGATTTATTTTTCGTTTCAGGAAAGTTTTCTTTGATTTAATCTGAAGTGTTTTGTTGTCTTTGGCTGGTTTGGTTTTCCATATACAAGTTATACATGAGTTATAATTCTAGACTTTTTTAGCTCTCTATTTCCATTTCATGTTGTTAGGTCCTTAATTTTTTCCTGTTTCTTCTCCCTTGTGCTCCTTCTCATTTTACCTTTACTTTTCTATGATAGTTTTGATTTATTCTTATTTTTCCTAGAGTTTGGATTGCTCACATTTTTATCTCTCCCTTGTTGCCTCACAGTCTCTTTCCTGAGTTCTTATTCTGGCTTTATGATTATCCTTAGTGGAAGTGATTGGATTAAATTTTTATAATTCATGCTCAAATGTTTGCTCAGAATTTTCATGTATTCTTTGGCTGTTTTTCTCATGCATGCTCGTCAGATAAGTTTTGGTGTTCTTTTCCTGTCTTAATTTAAAAAATATCTTTGAAGTGATGCTGTGCCAGTTTTTAAAGTTTATTACTCATCATAAAATGAGTTGCATTACCCTGCCCTAGCTATTTGTGGGGAAATGCCTGAGTGTGTTTGTGTGTGTGTATGTGAGGGAGTGTTGGGGCCAGGGAAACCTCTACTTAACAATTGCAATACTCTCTGCTTCACTGTTTCCACATGTTCTGCTTCCTGTAGCCCTGCTCTCTCTGCTTCTCTGAACCAAACCATGTCTGGGAGGTCATCTGCTGCCAGCCCTGCTCACCCTTGTGCCCACTTCCTTTATACACCTGAGGGGTATATCTTTCATACTTCAGGGTGAGCCCCTCACCTCCAGGGAGCATATAGTTGCTGCTGTTTTCTGAGGTCCGCCCAGGGCTGTTTTGTTATTCTCTCTCATTGTATTCTCCTCTTTATCTCTTCCTTGTCCCCATAAGGCTCTGCTTTATCTCCCCTATGTCTGCTGTAGATTTCATGGTTCTCAGAATATGCAAAGGATGCACTACTGCGAGGCCATCCTCACAGAAAGTGTGTTTTGCTGGCATTTTCTGTGATCTTTTACCATTGGGCTTTCTCACTGTTTGCTTTCCCCCCTCATCTTGGATTCATGGCTGATAGCAGCTTTTAGCAGCCCTTATATAGTTTCTTTGAATCATTTTGCTGAAAATGGAGTTTGTAGACTTCCCCAGCCTGTTTATCTTGTTTCCTTTGTATGATATCAGGGAGGAAAACTTAGGTGTTTCACGGGACACGTTTATATTGAAGGTCTGATGCACTCTTGCCTCTCAAAGTTTCCTATTGAGAACAGACATTAGGGGAATAGAGTGGGAGCCCTGAGGAAGCTGTTGTAGAGACTCGGGTATGTTGATGGTGGCCGGCTTGGCAGTGGTGACTGGAGAAATGGTGAGAAAAGTGGGTCAACTGTGGCTGCACTTATATTTGAAGGGAAGGCGATGTAGGACTTGCTGACGGTGGGGGACGGTGGAGTCGCTGGTGGCTGTGTGTCTGTCAGACGCTTCTCTGTATTGCGGAGCTGAGGGCAGGCTTTAAGTAGGGAGGGCCTGTTCGCACGGAGGCATCCAGTTGATGGAGGCATCCAGTTTGCCCAGTTGCAGAAACGAGCAGCACTTGACTCATTTTACTTATCAGGTGGAATCCTTTGGTATGTTTAACTTCTGGGTGGGATGGCCTGGGTTTTTTTTTTTGTTTTTGTTCCAAGTCTGTGGTGAGGGTCTTGCTGCCTGTGTGCTCTGTTCTTCTTCTCTGCCTGGTCCCAGCAGCCACAGCAGGGGCTTTCTACATGCATAGCTTTCACTCTGCCTTGGGCCCCAGTTGAGGTTAATGCTGCAGCCTGTTAGCTGCTGCATAGACAAGGGCCTGCCCAGCCATTCCTTAGATGGTCTTCTTACAAACTATTCCGATGACTGTCTTACAGCTGCTTCTGCCTTCTATACTGAGAATCCTTGGCCAAAAACCATGGCTTCCAAATTTGCTAGGACTTCTTTCTAGTGTGTTTGGATGTGGTTCTCTCTACTTAGGTTTATTTATCATTAATATGATCCCACTTGCTTTCTCTTCCAGAAACTTATCAGATCTGGTCAGCCTTGTTTTCAGTACTGCCATGTTTACATCATTTTTTATGGTGTCATTTTCATGGAGAAGGGCCAGCACACTCCTGTGCTTACTGCTTGCCAGTTGGGCTGCTTGTTTGCATTGCTACTTAAGAATGTGAGGAGAATATGGAAGAAAAACCATTTCAGATGGATAAGATTTTTTAGATTCAGAGGTTAGAAAATGAATTGGCTAATATGTAATATGATACTCTTCATCCAGAGCCATAATCTTTCTGTCTTATTCTACTTTTCACAGTTGCTCAGGTATGGTTATGGGATAAATATAATAGGTGTGACTTACTTTTTTTTGAAGATTCCCCCTCTGAGTGTGGAATCTGAGAAAATATAATTTAAAATGATCTATCTAGTTTACGTCCATGGGAAGTCTTATATCATCCATATTTATGCTTCTAGTTAGTTACTGGTTACTGCCTGCAATCATGTGAATAAAGGAAACAACCCGTAATTTTACATTTATTCTTATATTGGGAAAAATGTATGTACCTTAAATTTTAATAAAAATATCATATAGAAGACTGCTTTGGGGAGATACTCTGAACATTTAAGAATGAAAACATGTTTTAAACGTAGAGTTTGCATAAGTAGCAAAATTGTGTATATTGAAACATTCTCACCGTGTGTTCCTTCAAGATATATTTCCTTACTAGGCTGCGATATTAAGTGCTATGGGTGTTATCTATAAAGTTAAACCTCACTACTATTTTGATGGTGTCATTTGTGTACTAGGTTGGAAGTATTTTATGATATCCCTGTGGGTTGGGTCATAGTAATGTTTAATGTTTCATATTAATATTTAATATTAATGCATGAGGTGGGAATTAGACTATTAGGATAAAAGCTTGAAGGGTTTGTCCTCCCTACTCCCCAAGGGCCAAAGTTGGTGCTGGTTCATTTTTCTGTGTAGTGCAGGCTAGCTAAATTTGTTGGACTTACTGTAATCTCTTTCTCATTTTAATCTGCCCAAGGTGCCTTGTTACACTTCTTTCATGATTAGTTGTTGCCAAGATGAGTGTTCAGGCATGTTATCAAGAGAAATAAATGTCTTTTCCCACAGGGAAATGCATTTCCATAAAAACTAGGATTTGATCCCAACAATCCATTATTTGAGTTGTCTGAGAAAAATTTGTATCGGGGCTCCCAAGATCGCCCCGATCTTGTGATTTGGTAGGAGGACATAAAGGACTCAGCAAATAGTTGTATTCGGGGCTAAGATTTATTCCAGTGAAAGTACACAAAGCAAAGTCAGCACAAGGGGCAAAATCTGGAGGAAATCAGTCAGTAGATTCCAAGAGCCTTCTCCCTGTGATGTCATACAGGACAATCTTAATTTTTCAAGCAACAAGAAATTCCACCACACAGATGAAGTGCCTTCTACCAGGGAATCTTGTTTAGAGATCCAGAGTTTTTATTGGGGGCTGGTCACTGGGCTTCCTGTTCCTAGCTCATACCAGAATACCAGACCTCCTAGAAGGAAAGAGAATGTTTAGCATAAAACCGTTTGTACAGTTCAGGCATAGTGAGCCATTCTTATCAGGGAATGTTGGGAACACTTGTGAAATCCAATTTCCCAAACAGCAGCGAGGGGTAACAGTTTCAGGCAGCCCTGCTACATTGACTCTTTCCCACATGTTATTAGATATCCAGATGCCTTGTATTTTCTAAATATTTAAAATAATCTAAAATAATAGCTGTAATGTGGATTGTCATCAGACTTTCCATACAAGGGCTGTATGTGTTTTTGTGTTTTGATTGACACTTTAAAAAACTCAGGTTTGTAATAGTTTATGTTGAAACCAGTGGCTGGCAGTCATTCTGATTGCTGATGGACGGTTCCTCCAGCTCCCTTTCTAATCTCTTAATTCTTCTGAACTGTCCACCCATAGCTGATCATGCAGATTTTCTTTGCCACTTTCTTACTTTCCTATGTAACAATCACTTCAGTCTTACTGATGGTAAGATTGTTCTGTATGAAGTGCTGATATTAAAATACCTTGAAGGTGTGGAGAGATAATGTGGGAGGGTGGGCAAATAAACAAACAGCAGTGAATTTTGTTGAATGGAGTAATAAGCTACCTAAATTCAGCCTTGCTTATTAAGGTGATGGCAGTAATGGAGAAATAGTGAAGGGGTTGGGGATGATGGCTTTAATATCAATTTTGCAGGATAAATAAAGGCAACAAATTACAATTCCCCTTAACAGTATTGTCTTAACTATATTCTGACAGCTATTCAAGATTATGAAACTGCCCAGGAACACAATGAAAATGATCAACAGATACGGGAAGGTCTAGAGAAAGCACAAAGGCTATTGAAACAATCACAGAAACGGGATTATTATAAAATCTTAGGAGTAAAAAGGTAAATTAATTTAAAATTTGCATTGCTATTTTTCTCTCCCTGAGTCATTTCCTTTATTTATATATTTTCAGGCACATAGCTTAAATGCTAACAATCTTTAACATCATAAAGCTATTTTGAATATTTTACAGGCAAATTTCTTTGATAGCAACCAGTACTGCAGTGACAGAGAATTAGTAGTTGGTGAAAAAGATATGACACTAAAGCATGAATAGATATTAGGCCTAGATTTTTAAAGAAGGGTGAAGAGGTAGGAGCGAGCTTTCTTCTGGTGGGAATGGGGAAAAGAAAAAAAATCTTCTCTATGCCTAAAAATAAAGTAGTGCTTTTAGAATTAACTTGAAAGCACTGGGAGGTATACATTTACTCAGTATGTGCTTTGAAGTAAGACCCACCTTTCCTGACCATGGGAACCATCAGTCTTTTGATCAAAAGTCTGAAACTTTGTTCTTACTAAGTAAGCTAATGGAGAAGCAAAATTGAAAGTGGAGTTCAAAGAGTCAAAGTATCTTTTTAATGCCAAAAATTGAATCATGGTAGCTTGGAAATTCGAAAAGTTAAATTCATCTGTTATTCTTTATAAAAATGGAAAGTTGTGAAGATCAGGAGTATTTACTTTATTCCCAATAAGATTCTAATCTTAGTATACAAGTGTCTAAAGAAGGCTGACCCATTTTAATGATCATCCAGAACTGTACGATCTTTAGACTATGATACCACTGGAGTTATGTTATTAGGAACCAGGTTGTAAATTGCCAGTGGGATCTTAATTGGCTCTTCTAATTTTTATGGCAGTGTTGGACATTTAACTAATGGTTGTTAATTTATTTACTACCCCTCAGAAATGCCAAAAAGCAGGAAATCATTAAAGCATACCGAAAATTGGCAATGCAGTGGCACCCAGATAACTTCCAGAATGAAGAAGAAAAGAAAAAAGCTGAGAAAAAGTTCATTGACATAGCAGCTGCTAAAGAAGTACTCTCTGATCCAGGTATTGTTTGCCTTTAACATCTGTCTGTGTGGAGTGGGTGAGTTACTAGTTATTATTCCTTTGACCCATCTTAGAGGCAGTGTCAGAAGCTGAGGGTGGGGCACTGTTGGGAAAATAGAATAGTTTGGTTAGGCCCTCACCTCAGGTCCGGTTGGGTGTGGTTCAGCATTCATTGTAAGGAAATTGTGTGTGTGTGTGTGGAGGAGAGAGAGGGAGAGGGGGAGAGAGGGAGAGAGACATGCATGAGAGGAACCCAGCCTGGCATATGAAGGGTTTGCGACCCCGTCTGTGAATGGGCTTGACCCGAGCTCCAGACCCAGCCCTCGTGCAACAATCGGCCCAGTTGGTGCAGGATTACAGGCAGGTAAAAGAGCCTGACAAGTGACGTGGTCACCTAGCTTTACAATTGGCGTCATTGAGCTAGACAACTGGCACTATGAGGATTCCAGACAGCAGTCTTAGCAGACCACCACGATTGGTGTAGTTGAACGGGATTACGCCACAGGCACATAGTGGGTTCGCCCTCTGGGTCTGTGTAGACAGTGAGAGTCCATGCTGTGAGGGCTGATGACTGGTCCTCAGCAATGCAGTCTTGTAAGTCCAGTTTTATGTCTTCCCTTGTGTGATTCTGGGAACTCTCATGCATAGTACAGCAGAAAGACCATCAAATGTGGAATCAGAAGGCTTGAGTTTGAATCTTTTTTCTACTTGAACAAGTTCCTAGAACTACCACAACACAGGCATCTGTTAGGTTCCTTCCAGCATCAGAGGTCAATGATGAATTCTCTACTAACCTTAACCAGCATGCCAGGCTGGATTGTACAGGGTGCAGAAAGAGCGGATAGTTCGCTCAGGGCCTGCTGTGCCCCCATGAGTGTGTTCACCAACAAATCTTGCCCTAAACCATATATGATCATTAGATTTACTCGTTGATTTATGTGTTCTTTTGTCATACACTAATATGGCCTGGAAAGTAAGAGGGAGACAGGCTAAGAATTGAGGTAATATTGGTTAATGCTTTGCCATTTCCAGAGGGAATACCTGATACTTTTTTTGTGACCTTCTATGTCAGTGGGAGCAGAAGATCTGAATTGAGCTAGACAAACTCAACAAAAAGAGAGGAAATCAGGTTTTGTGCCACTTGGCAAAGCTTTTTTGAGCCTCTACTTTATTCTATGGAGTTGAAGTTAAATGATCTTTTGTTCTCAAGTATTTATAATCCAGTAAGGAAGACAAAAATGTACTGCACTTATTAAGTAGTGTAGGATGCATACCATCCTGTTATTCAGCAAATATTGAGTGTTTACAGCATCCCTTGAATGGTTTGATCCTCTTAGTCTCTGCAGGGGTGGGGCGGCTCCACCAGACTGAGAGGAATCTTCTTAGCGGAGGGGGACTCGAGCTGAGCTTTAAAGTATCAGAGACCAACCAAGGGCATGGGGCTGTGACAGAGGGATGCATGCACCAAGAAAAGAGGGCTCCTCATTGTTCCCTTCTCCCGTGTGTCTGCATTGGTCTTTTTCTGCCTGGGGCTGAGAGAGGCACAGCAGTGGGGGCACCAGTCACATGGTAGGGAAAGATGAGCCTCCTGGCTGTTTAATCAGAAGAGCATGGCATTCTGAGGTCAAATTCTCTGGAACTATTTTTTCCAAATAATTTTTTGGGTATTTACCAAGCTTGGGTAACTTCTTCTGAGGTGAGATTTAGGGGGCCTGAATGTCAATGAATAGCTGTTTACAACCCTGAACCTCATCCCCTTCTCTGTGACTGGTATTCTTCTAGTCTGTTTCTTCTGGGTGGTAATGGGAGAGCCTGGATTGAGTATCAGACACAACTGTTTTGATAACCAAAAAGTAATTCTCCAAGCCTACCCCCCCCTCCCCCCCATACCTTAATTATTAGCCGGGTCTTAATTTGCTGATTTCTTTTCTAGAAATGAGGAAGAAGTTTGACGACGGAGAAGATCCCTTGGATGCAGAGAGCCAACAAGGAGGTGGTGGCAACCCTTTCCACAGAAGCTGGAACTCATGGCAAGGGTTCAATCCCTTCAGCTCAGGCGGACCGTTCAGATTTAAATTCCACTTCAATTAAACCGACTTTTTCTGCTCTTCTTAATTTTTTTAAAGATTAAAAACAAAGAAACCTTGTTTCAGGATCCTAATGAAAAAAATTTTCAAATCTTTCAGTTTGTCCACAACCAAAGAGTTGTTTTAATAGGAAAAAATCTGTGCTTATTCATTTTAGACTTAAGGTTGATGGGTTTGCAAGGGCAGGGGGGCAAGGAATGGTTGTACTGCTGACAAAGCAGCCTGTACGCATTTTATGAAGGTCTGCAAGAAGTGGTCTGAGGTGTGCTCACCTTGGAAGTGCTCACATATTCTCTATCTTAATACACTGAAGAGATTTTTCTCTTCACAGCCTTGGATAGTAAGTCAGTGCCTACGTGTGTGAGGAGGAGCTGTAATCTTCATAAGAATGGGATGTATTTCAGTATTCTTAAAGTATGAACATACTGAGCTGTATGTCGGTAGGGACAACTATGCTTAGATTTTGAGTCTTGTCACTTGTGAATGTCTGTAAATCACTGAGCCTCCTTTAGTGTGCATGCGTTTACACCTCTCTGCTAGCGCCGAAGTGGCTGACACCGAAAAGCGCACAGAGTCCATCTTTTAGGAACCTGCCGTCAAATGGTAGTCGATATATCCAGGTTTAGACTTTGGATGGATGTTAACCATATACCTATATTTTTTTTGTTCAGTACTAAGAAGAAAACTAAAAACCACTTAATTTGAATTTAATCATAAAAACCTATGAGCCCTTGTGTTTAATATTAAGTGCAACAAATTAACCAAAAGTAGTATGTAAAAGAGGTTCAGATAATATAGCACTGGTATTATTTAAAATATTGCTGAAGTGCAGATTGAAATACTTTTTAAACAACTGAAGTTTTGAGTTGTTACACAGAATTTCCTGTAACAGGATTGGCTTAGAGACGTAAAGTTGCTCAGTCAACATAAGCAAATGCAGAATGCCATATTTCCCACTTTTAACAAATACAGTGCAGTAGCTTCTTTCTCTTCTTTTTTACATCCAGACCTGACCCTCTGGCTGTAGTGACTCTCAGGTGGCAATGTCTGCTGGTGTGAAACAGTAATCTGCCCCTCCTGCACCTGAGGCTTCTAGATGTTCTCCTGCCTAGATGATGATACAGGCTTGCAAATCTAGACAGCTCTGGCTATATTCCCACTATCACTTCATTTAATAAGACAGCATCTCCTCTTGAGATACCTTACCTTTTAAGAAGGTAACTAAGAAATGAACTATTCTTTGTAAACTGGATAATTTTTGCCCTAAAAAGAGTGTTACTTTAATTAAGAACAATGAGTATTTATAGAACTATTGATGCTGCATTTGAAAATCTAAGATAATTACTTTAGATACACATTATTACCTTTATTCTGGAAAGGTTTTGCCTGAAAGCATTTTAAGCATTAAATGGTCTAATATATTGTTTTTATGAAATCAAGCATTTGAGTTTGTTGTGGGGAGCATCCTGACCATGAACGTCTGTAACAGCCAAGCACAAATTGTTTTCTTCCACAGTCATATCCTGAAAAATACATGGAAAATTTTTTTTTTTTTTTTTACTGAGACAAAAAATCACATAGTTGAGCAAAACACTTAAGTGCTTTTTGCATCTAGTTAGGAGATAATTCATTTTCAAAATTAGTGAAACTTTCAGCTTTCATTTTGTTTTAATATCTCAAAATTCAAGCCAATGTAAAAATAATTTCCAAGGTAAGTTCAATTTTGCATATTTGTTAATCTTGGTAATCTCATTACTTCACTAGTTATATCAGCAACTTCTTTTTTCAATCTGGTCCTTTGTATATGATGTTACTGTTACCCTTTGAAATATAGTGATGGCCTCTACCTACTTTCAAAAGTAAGAATTTTCACACAGAATCCGAACAAAGGAAATATCAAGTCATTTGCCCTTTTGGAGGAGAGGATGAAAAGTGGCCAACAACAAGGACGCAGAGAGTGCTTGGGACGGCTGAGGAGTGGGCCTAGTTGCCTACCGACCCAGAGGCTTGTTTGCATTTTTATTTTCTCCACTTGTAACAACCATAATTTCTGTTCCTGAAGTCTTACCGTGGATTTAATTTAGTCATCTTAACAGAAATGTACAGTTACTTGCCTGTTTTCAGTGAAGAGAAAGGAGGAGCTATGGTGCCAAGTGTCAGCACCAAGGAAGGAAATGAATTCTCTGGAATCTTGTTCCATGCTCTCCTTAAGTCTTTCCTCCTGCGCCTGACATGGGATATTATTATGCAATGTAAAAACATCATATACTAACAAAGCATTTTAGTTTTGCAGGGAGAGGGCTACTTCCACTTTCCACAGGTGCCTAGTAGTCTTCGTGGCTCTTTGGGGAAAACTAAAATCAGAGGCCTTAGCTGTATTACATTCCATCCTTAAACCACTCCCCCTCCTTTTTTGGTGATTTCTCCGTGAGTAGAGTATCATTGGTTTGTACATTGTGGGTATTTTTCACAGCAGGAAGTATTAAACACGTCAACCTAGAAATGGTGTGAAAAAAATTCTAAAAACGGAGACTAAATTTAATTCGTTCCTCAGTTCTGAAAGTTTGTGCTTTCTCACCATGAATAGATGAAAACTTAAAAACAATTTCAATAGTTTACTAACGTGAATTGGGTGTAATGTGAATTTATTAATTTTAAAATGTCTTCCTCGTTAGTCAGTATTAAAGGTCTATTTTTAAATTTCAGTGTGAAGACAAATTTTTGGAACTCTGATAACAGAATCTAAAAATTACCCAGTTTTTTTGAGAAAAATATTACCGATACTGAATAGATAAAAAAGCTAATAGAATAACAATTTGAAATTGGCACCATTTTCTGTTCACGGTGGATAATGAAAAATTTCACCTTTAAAGGCATGAAATTGGTCAGAAGTTGTATTTGACATTTACCATGAGAAAAGTACGTAAGACGTTTAAGTTTAAAATGACTCCTCAGTCAGATGTGTTGGAGCCGACTGCCTTACAGACCCAAGGGTACCGGTCATGGGCCTTGCAGTACACTTCAGAGGGATAGCCTAGAGAAACTCACACAACTTTGTTGAATGTAGTTGACGTTTCCATATTTATAAAGGAAGGAGGATGGCAAATGCTAACTTGTCAACAGCTAATATCCTTACTTAAAGATCCTTAAGTCAGATCATTCCTATTTTAGTTAGTGGCAGAGTTTATTCTGTAATTTCAAATGAGTTAAGAGGTGGGGATTTTTTTTTAACAGGTGATCTCGTTTACTGAATGATTAAGAGTAAAATTAGCCACTGCGTGGCTTTGTGTATAGTAACAGGTTTTGTTGCATTTGTCAGTGGTTGAAACACCTGCAGTGGAAAGCAGAGCATGGAGGAAGTAAAAGTGGGAGATGTATGATAAGTTAAAATGTTACTCTTACTATAAGGTCATAGTTTGTTCTGAGTGAGATAAGACTAAGTAACGTAAGCCATCTCAATTTAGTGTTTTAATGAAAAGGAACCTGATATGATTTGAAATTGGTCTCAGACATGTGTACAAATATGGGTACTATTTTTATGCCCATGTATTTTCACACTTAATAAAAATATTTATGGTCATATCAGTACTTTCTTGCTTTTGATTCATTTTTAGTCTTTCAGCATAAGAACTTCTAAGAAAGCCCATCTTAAGAGAAGTCTTTCAAACTTCTCCACACAAAATCAGTGACTAAGATCACAGAAGGGCTCCTTCTCTATGGGAGTTAACAGGGAAGGTCAGCACAAAAAGCAGAAATGGCTAAAATCTCTTAACCCCACAAACATCCTTAGATAGCTAGGACTTAAAAAGTGGACAATTCTTTCATTTCAATACTATTAAAATCTAACAAGTTGGCTTTGTCTGAAGACTTTCCTTTTTATACCCTATTTGCACATTTCTCTTAAGATCCTTAGTGGGGAGGAGGGACACTGCCGCCTATCTCAATCAAATTTCTAGGAGCAAACAAAAGTAGCTTTCTTCTCAGTTATACTCTGCAAATTTATATGGAACTTTTCCAGAAAGCGCAATGTCCTCCTGACATCTTGGCAATATATGAGCCATTGGCCTTAGTCTAAAGATAACGTGAACAGGGGCAGCAGGCATGAGGGCTGCCTGAGAACTGGGAAAGGGAGGTCCAGGTTCTCTTCCAAGCCTCAGAAACTCTCACTCGGCAAGCACTAAGCAACCCCTCTCCCTTCCTGTCCTAGATCAGTGCTTCACCAAGAATCATCTTAATCTTAAGGCTTTCAGTTCACAGCCCAGAGACCCTGAACTCTGCAAACCTTTTTCTGCTGAGCAAACCTTTGGCAATGGCTGTATGATAAATAGACGCATTACAAGCACATTTATTGCCGGTATGCTAGGATTCCATTTCTAAAGAAGTAGTATATAAGAGAACTCAGGTCGCAGTATCTGTTTTGAACATTTCCAACCTTCACTCAGGTCTACCAGGACTAGCACCACTCAGATTCCTCCAGGGACTGAGCAGCCCTGGCTTGGAAGGGCCACCAGAACATTGGTGCCAAAGTCTTTCTGAGGAAATCAGAATTGAACACTTCTAGAAAGGACGAGAAAAACCATTGCTTGCAGTATCTGTCAGTGCATTTCAAGTGTTCTAAGTCTTTTTGGTATTTGAATATTTTCCTGTTATTACAGGAGATTTCTAAAGGTATATTCTTGAGCACAGTGTGACATTTGTATACAGTTAATAGGATTTTTTTCTCTTAGAATGATTCTATAAATGTGATTTTTCTCTCCTGTGTGAGGATGCTTTAGAGATAGAAAGGATAACTCTTCTAACAAACATTTCATTATATCAGGTCTTTCCTAGGACGTTGTTAATACTCTACTCCATATTTACCACCTGCTGCAATATTTTGTTTCTTGCAATGTTTGTGCCTTTGTTACCTCAAGTTACTAAAGCCTCAAAGTAGAAAGACATCATTCTACAACTGTACAATCTTTGTGCAAACAAAATAGCATGCCTTCTTCCTACTGGCTGCACTATGTGGTATGCCAACATGCAGGGAGGCTCTGCCTGTAGGACACGGCCTCAGACCAGGAGAAATTTATAGCTTTTACTCATATAGTAAGTACTGATGTTATCAACAGGTATACCAATTAGGTTACATTTTGACAATGTTTCAAATGCAAGGAACCCTGAGTCAAATTCTGTGACTTAATTGGATAATAATGTAAATATTATTCTATCTGAATGGTGAAATACTATCAACTTTAAAAACCATACTAAAATAAAATTCTCAACTCTGAAAAGAATGAAGGCAAAAATCAAAAACCTTGGTGTATGAGATTAAATTATCACTTTATTTTTCATTTTGGTTTTATTTTTAATTTAATGCTTAAGAAATAAGGTATAAAAAATTCACTGAGCAATTTTGGATTTATACTAGGTACTTCAGAAAGTTCATGGAAAAACAATTAAAGGTAATATGAATTTTTCCACCAACTTTTTGAAGTACCCTCATATTAATGGATGTTGGCCCTTCACTGCACTTTAGTATCAAATCACCAAAGCTCTTCATGTGGTTTATAAACTCCCTTGCAATACCTTGTGCACTCTGGCTCCAACCACATGGGCCTTCTTTCTGTCCTCGAACAAAACTTCCTCCATACTGTTCTTTCTTGCCTGGTTAGTACTTACTCCTACATCAGGTTTCATAGTAAACGTCATTTCCTTAGGACTTTCCTGACCCTTGACCTTCACAGCATTTTCATTTGGGTATTTGCTTAATGTTTCTCATATATACAGGTGTAGTATATTCAAAAGGATAGCTTGGAACACCATAGGTAATTATTTGTTGAATGTGAAATATTTGTTGAATTGTAATATTTGTTGAATTTGTCCAGGTTAGGGAGACTTACTATATTACTGGTTTTATTTAGATAAAACTTTTAGATACAGTTTTCTTGTGGAAGTACAAGAGGAAACAAAGTCTACATACCAGTTGTAGAAAGACATTAAACTCACCAGTGGTACTTCGAGGACCATTGTGTGAAAAGCAGTTTGAGTCTGACATTCTAGACTGGCCACTCCACTGTATAATTAGTTCTATTTACTTCAAAATTCATCTTACCCAACAAGGTTAGTACCATATTTCTTCCTTCTCTCCTCTTCCCTCAAATTTAAAATTAAACATAAGGTTAATCTGGAGTCTTTGTCATTCAAATAATGTTTTGGTTTTGAGCCAGTCTTTTAACATCTGAGTAATTTTTCTTCCTTCAATTCTAATAAAAACCTTTAATTTTTAAAGTATAACCACAGGAACCAGACACTGTTAAAGGTGCCAGCACAACAGGCAGCCACGTGGGCCCCTGCTAAGTGGGTCCCACCTGCAAGAACCCAACTCAGTCACCAGTGTGAGAGGCAGCTACGTGGGACCCCGGTAAGCAGGCCTTGCCTGCAAGA